AATGTGTGTGTGTAGGAGAGGGGGACTTGCTCATCTCTTCTGTATACGGTGTAGCATAATATGTTTTCGTTTCACAGAATTGATAAAAACAACGATAATTGTACGTTTCACAAGTATTTCATTTATTACCACCGTGGTTTCGCCAGTAAATGCATAATCAGAAACAGACTGAAGAAGACGAAATCAAATAAAAACATATATTGAAAACATGTTGAACGCGTCTTACTAGAGCTCTTGAAGTTTATTAATAATTAACAGGGGTCGCTTTCCGAATTTCATCAGCCTGTACGAGTGTGTGTGATTTCTTATAGCAAAGCCACATCCGGCTATCTGCTGTGTCCCTCGAGGGTAATCGAACCCCTGATTTTAACGTTGTAAATCCGAAGACTTACCGCCGTCCCATCAGGGGACATTCATCAGCCTAAATGCGTTAATTATTTTTGACAGATTTCAGTTAAAATGTTTTCACTATGCGAGCATGAAAAAGTACTGTTGCGTCATCGAGTCACATGACTACTGTGACGCAACGTTTCTAGAACTATCATGTACTTTGGCGAATGTTCTAGTTCTTACTAGATATAGGGTAGGCTGGTATATAAAAGAGGGGAATGTAATGTCTGGGCAGACAATGAGTAATTGAACTGCAGTCAGAGAGCACGAGAGACGTTACAGCGTTTGTTTAGCTCGATTGTTGAAGTTGAGTGTATCGGTAAAGTTATATTCGAAAAGAATAAACCAGTTTTTATTAAGAAAGAACTTGTGTCGCTTAAGTTTCGTCGGAAACGAAGTTACGGAAAATTAATTAACAACCGCAGACGTAACAAATTGGTGTCAGAGAGTGGGATAGAAAAAGAAAAAGAGAAGAAAAATTTTCCGCCTCTCGTTTCCATCAAACTACAGCTTAGCAGATTTGATGGCAGCAATACAAAAACAAGAGGAGAAATTACAGCAGTTGTTGGAGGAGAAAAATAAACAAGAAGAACGAGAAAAGAAACAAGAAGAGAAATTAAAACAGTTGTTAGAGGGAAAAGAAAAGAAACAAGAAGAACGAGAAAATAAACAAGAAAAGAAACAAGAAGAACGAGAAGCAAAATTACAACAGTTGTTGGAGGAAAAAGAAAAGAAACAAGAAGAACGAGAAATTAAACAAGAAGAGAGATTACAGCAGTTGTTAGAGGAAAAAGAAATAAAACAAGAAGAACGAGAAAAGAAACAAGAGATAGAGAAGGTCATGGATGGTCTAATCAAGGAAGGGATAGTTGAAAAATCAGATAGTCC